CCCTACTGGCCATGCAACATTGTGCAACACACACATGAAGCAACCACCCTGCTGGAAGACCGATAAAGCCACTGCAGACGAATGTCTGTACCAGAATCTGTGGGCATGAGAATGTGGAATATGGTGTGCTTTACCTTGTTGTCCGAAGAGAACTTCAGTGTAAGGCAGGAAAGGAAAGCAGAGCGATTACAGCTCTCTATCTATACTGCAATAAATCTACAGTATCGCTCGCTATCTAGAAATGTTTAAGAATAATTGTCCTGTAAGAGCTCTGTGATTATTACATTTACAACAGTTCAAAGACCTCAGAGGTTTTGCAATCAACATTGATCAGTAACAGTCCTTTTAGGCAAGACCAAATACAGTCTAAATCGGAAGTAGTCCGTTCTTCATAAATGAAGCTTCATGTAAGATTTAGTCAAAAATAAGCTGCAATCTATCAAGACTGCCCTTCTTTTAAGATATTCGAGTCATTATTCACTGAAAATGTTTCCTTGTATCGTCAATGTGTGAATGACATTAAAAACTGCTGTATGCCATAGATTAGCCTTTGATTAGGCTTCTGAATTGAAAATGAAATCACAAGTTCTTCTTTATTTCCCTCTCTCTCTCTCTCCACACTAAAGACCTGCAGTGCTGCAGCACTAGACAGAATCCTGAGAATCTAATTATACCTTCACAAGTCTCAGGACAGTTAAGTGTGACCACAGCCTGCAGCCAATTGACCGCCCAACACTAAATTACCCTAATTTACTGTCCCGGGATTTGTTCAACAAGGAAAAACAACTTTGTAGGCAGAAGCATGGAGCTAAAGGAAGGTTTTGTTGCAGTTACCAGAGATTTGGAGTTCTGGCGAGACGGAGGCAGAAAAGGCCGTACGCTGGTGGGATCTTCTTTCTCTATGGAGTGCCTCCTCTGTGGAGCGATGCGTTTGTCAGGTTGAGGGGTGGAAGATATGGGCAGGAACTGCGGAGGAGCTGGGAAAAGACAAAGTGGAAGACAAAAATTGAGGTGAAGAAGAACTGTCAGTCAGTGACAGGTTTTCGTTGGACTGTGAATAAAAAGTTTTGGATATTTCAAGACGGGTCTTACTTTTTTTGGCCATGACGGACTCTGGAGACGTGTCCTCAACCAGAGAGGCGGATACGCTGGAGCTGCTGTCAGACGTCCGAGTGTTTTGTTCCTCCTACAGTAGGAAAAAGAGACGGTTAACAATCGTATTTTGCCTTTTTGAATATTTCGGCAGGGTTTTTGCAATATAGAAGATATAAAACCCACTCACATCCGAGTCGGAGCTATCAAGCTCAGCCAGCGTAGGCGCTTTGAGCAACCTCTTTCTCTGGGACAGCGGCTGACCTCCGGCTACACCATTTACGGGGCTCCGAGCTGGCGACGTGCCATTGGCCAGGGACAGTGTGCTGACGGCCAACTTTCGGTGTCCGTCAGGGATGTCTGTGTGCGGGTGGACAATATGGACATAATCAGACACCAATTAGGACAGCAAAAACTATGCTTTGTTTACACTGCACCCAACTACAAACTGTTTTTCAAGTCTACTGATTTTGATTATTGACTGTTTGCACTGTCAAATTGGAACTGTTGAAATTGGATCTCCTTGTTTCTATACTGGTTGCCACAGTAACGACTTGTGAACGTTCCTCTGCAACAGCTGAGGACTTTCCAAAGTGGAAAGTGGAAAGTGAGGACAGAAACTGGAGGTTTTGTCCATCATGGCATCTCACTGTGGTTACTGTATTTACACATTGATAGATATACTGTGAAAGAAATGGTTCACTCACTTGTTTTAAGTGACTACATAGCAAATGCCACTTAGTTCACTAATTAGTGAATTCAGACACAGCTAGTAACACAATACATTTCTCAAATGACTACAAAAGAGACTTCAAATCCAATCTGACCATTTAGGCTCAAATAATCTACTTTCTGTTGGATTTCAACTCTCATATCTAATGTAACAAGCCATGTCAATAAATTATTGCATTCAGATTATGCACGGCAGTATATAGTGACGAAATTACATAACACTGATGTCCACAGCAATGAAAACAGTACAATTCACTAAATCAGGTCAATAGAAGTTTAAATAAACTATTGTTCAAAAGCTTCTTATACTGCAAATAAATAAATAAATAAAAACATTTTTGTGAAATATTATAATTTAAAATATATTTTTTTATTTTAATATATTTTAACATTTTATTTATTCCTGTGATGACAAAGTTGAATTTTCATCATCATTACTCCAGTCTTTAGTGTCACATGATCCTTCAGAAATCATTCTAATGTGCTGATTTGCTGCTCCATTTATCATTATTATCAATGTTGAAAACATCTGTGCTGCTTAATATTTTTGTGGAAACCATGATTTTTTTTTTAATGAATAGAAAGTAAAAAGGGCAGGTTTTTTAATTAAAATATTTTGCAACATTAATAACATGTTACAAACTTTAATGTATCCTTGCTGAATAAACGTATTAATTCAAACCTTTGAACTGTAGTGTAAATCTCTTTTGCACAACACCCTAAAAAGTCTCATACAGACTTAAAACTACATATGTGATGTATGAAATTTTCACAAAACTAATAGAATACAATCAGAACATTTAGGAAAATAAAGATCGCTATACTACAGATACTGATCCTTTCTATATTAAGAAAACAAATGTACTATGTTAAAAAGTAATATTCCTGGTCATTTTGAGGCTCAAGTGAGATATTTATAGAACTTAGATGGACAGAGTATAAAAATAAACATTGCAGCATATTTAAATATTGATGCCTGCAGACCCACAGTTACATAACCCTTCTTAAACTAGACTAATCCTCATTCAGAAATGAATTCTGCGAGCTCTGCTGTTCACCCACACAGTTTGTGTTTGATTCATACTCAAGCTCTCAGAACCCAGGCATTTCTCTCACACTGGGCTCGGAGGCGTGAGGGAGCAATGTGAAAGTCATGCTTGCATCAGGAATACTTTACCTGAGCTTCGGAACAAGTCCTGTGGGGTGCTCATACTTTTGCCTGCACCTAGAAAGGAACATATTCTTCAATATGACCCCAAGAGCACAAAACAGGCCTTTCTATACCTGACATTCACACAGTAAGCCAATATACGAGTGTAAACTACACTTAGATAAATCAATCAGCAGCTCTGTGACACCAGCACACAGAAGCACAAGCGCGGTGCAGCCACACAGACGCAGCAGCCATACTGGACAGAGGATTTGTGGGATACGGAGGTGGAAGGAACAGTGCGGTTTAGTAGCAGGAGGACATACAGAGGAAAGTCCAGGGCAAGCAGCCATATTGGAGGCTAGCAGCAACTACTTTACATTAAAAACTATAAATCGTAATGTATGACTTATTTAATACAACAAAAGGGAAAGGGAAGGAAATACAGTCTGCTTAAAGGGCTTTATTCATTAATTACTGACAGTGATTAAATCTGCATTGCTTCTCATTTGAATGAAAGCTGAGCTGGCTCTCAGCATATGTCTACAGAAATCATTGGAGTAATTCAACTCTCGTTGGAGATGAATTACTTTAAGTTGTTGCAAATTGCTGTCAGTGTGAACATAACTAAAATAAAGGGTTTTAAAACTTGGCATCAAATTAAATATGGTATATAATATGACCAAAGTCTATTAGGCATATCTTCTGGTCATTAAGAATTACAATAAGAACCAGGGCATGAGAGTTTAAGAAGTCCACAATCCATCTTACTGTCTCTTCCATTCACAGGCCACAGCAAGTCTTATCCAACCAATCTTAACAACCATCACTATATGTATTAATGTTGGCTACAAACATGGAAGAGCATCTACAATTGAATGGATTTGACTGAAAGCCAGGGCCGGATTTACCTCTTTTCGTGACATAATTTTTGGGGCCCCCTTCCCTATTAATATAATAGGCCTAATATTACCACCCAAGCAAACAAAAATATTTCTTAATATGTGGAAACCGTTACAGTGTTTTCTATCGCAATAAGTGCTTGCGTTCAGTCAATAAAAATCGAATGTAGGTTCTTAATTTATTTGAGAATTCAAAAAAATTGCATTTCATTCCATTAATAGACCACATAACCACTTCGGGAGTGCATTATTTCTCTAATAATTTTAACGGCCTGGAGTCACAATCACACATCAATTGTTCAGATGATTTGTTTCAAGACATTTGACATGTTTCTGTCCTCCGCGAGTGCATGTCTATGTGTGTGTGTGTGTGTGTGTGTAAGAGAGACTGGGAGAAAGAAAGTGTGATTTCCATACATAAAAAAAAGTTTGAAGACATGGAAATAGTTTGACATTTTTACCCTATTGTTTGTTATATTTATTTGCTCAATGTCTTCTGGGGTTTTGGTTCTTTTACTGTTGTAGATAGCCCATAGTATAACAAAAATATTATATATCTCTTCATTGTGTTTGGGCCCCCCCTGGATGAGCAAGCATAGGCACGTGCCTAGAATGCCTATGCGTAAAAATCCGGCCCTGCTGAAAGCCATTGCTCACAGAAAAGCTTATAAAATCTTTGATTTATCCTCTTGATTTGAATGTTTTTATTTGAATGTGGCTTACCTGGTTAGCCGTAAACCTATTGGAATAACTGATATCATAGCTAGATTTTATGGAAAGTTATCCTGAAACTGGAATACAGTACACAATTTTCAAAATCTGAACATATTTGAATATTTTTTTATTCTCAGTTTTCATTTTTAGTGATTTTGTCATGTCCTTTTATCATTGTATTAGTTTTTGTATATTTCTATTTAGCATTTATTTCAGTTTTGTACTTCAATCTAAATTTCATTTCTGTTTTTTTAAGTTTAGTTTTTTCATTTAAAACTGATATTTTATTTCTTTGAAATCTTTTCATTTTTTAAATTATTTTATTTTTTATTTCTTAGTTCCTTTGAACTTTCTCTTTATTTATTTAAATAATATAATTCTATTTTTAATACAATAGACAACTAATCTAATTCTGTTTTTAACAATTACAACACTCTCTCCGACAGGTTGGAATAGTCTGAAGCTAAAAACAATCAAAATCTGTGCCTATCATATACTACACGATTTTCTATAAATCTGTCAATTCTGACAGTCCAAAATCTCCACTGCTGACTCGTCCAGACCAAAAATCTGTGAACAAAATCAGAGCAAAAGTTGTGTGGCATATTCTAACCCTAACTAAATAAGTAATGTTTGAAGAATTCAATCCACAGACATGCAGTCTTGTCAATGTAAGAGGGATTTCTTCAAGACTGGAGGCAGTGCCTTGTCCCCTTCCTCCTCTATGGACTAACAGGTTCAATGCCACGACCCCACCACCCCACCACCAGAGGAGCGTGACATGAGGGTAGGAGCCACTACAGGGGTCTGGCACAAACACAGAAGCCACAGCGTCAGTGAGCTAACAGCGGTAAAGCCACAGTGAAGTCTTTACCTGATGAGTCAAAACTGACAGACATGCTAAGTGGGCGCATTACTGTGAGGAAGAGGCAGAGGTTATGGATGAAGAGAGAGGGAGGAGAAGATAAATAAAGCCATGGGTTAAAACAAGGCATTAAATGTTAATGCATTTAATGTTAGATATAAAGAATGCTGCTCTGGAACTCCATTAATAAACAGGAACACAATTCAACAACCAAGCAGCCAAACAACAGGTAACTTCTTTTAGGATCAATAAAGAATAAATGTTATTTTTATCATTTCATACTGAACAACCACTATAAAGCACAGGTAAAACTGGCAAAGCTACAGTACAATTCACATTACAAAAGGTAGGACTGATGAAGCTTTCTGACAACATATAATGTATATCACATTCACACAACCAATGGAATACAATTAACGTCTTATACTACTTTAGGATCAAGAACGAAAAAATTTATTTATTTATAATGTAATAGTAAAAATGTGAGAAAAATAAATACACTGAAGTAAAGTCCAACTAATCACATAATACATACAATAGATATTTATGTTAATCTCCTTTAGGTTTTAAAGGTTTATAGACTGTAGACACTGAACTTTGTCTCTTTAGGCAGCTGGAGGAAACAACAGACTCTTTTCACCACAAACTGATAATACATACGTGCAAACCTTAAGCTTTATTAAGTCTGCTGTAACCGACTCAAATCTGGGACATTTATCCAACATGGATCACATTCAGTCCGATATAATGATTGCCAGATTTGTGCTTGTGTAACTGTACAATCATCCACACAAACAGCCTAGAGGTCTTTATGTACAAGTGCACGTTCAGCTGTAAACCTCACAATCTTTAACTATTGAATCCTACAGCAAAATACCGCTATGAGACCAAATCTCAGGGCAAATCCACTATTAAGACGATGTACCTTCTCTATAACCTTGTAAATGTCAATGGCATTGATGTACAGTACAAGAATCAAATGGCGTGTAACAATGTGGATGTATGTTTTTAAAAACCAGTGGTGGACAGTAACGGAGTAGCTTTACTTCGTTACTGTACTTAAGTACATTTATACAGTATCAATCCAAAGTGAGAAATGTAATTAGAGATTTACAGCTGTAAATCAAATGGGCGGCGCAGAGTTAGAGACACAGGGCTGTACTACAGACACTGTTAGTGAACAAATGGTTGAGTGTAGCACAAGCAGCCATGCATGAGATTGACACACTGTCACACATCTGCACTGCTGTCTGACATGACCTGAGGTCAATCTCTAACACATACTCACCTTCTTCCACATGACTGATATACCTGATATATAGGTTAACTAACACAATATGAAGCTGGCTTTGAGTGTAAATACAAGCTATTTAAAATAAACAATGTATACTGAATATGAACAGAATGCATTTGGAAAAATATTTGTGCACAGGATAATAAACATATAGACAAGGTGTCTATGCAGTGTTAAAGTAAACACTACCAGTCAAAAACTTGGACATACCTGAACAATTTGGTTAAATTTGATTAAAATGTTTATCAAGATCTTAAAAACCTTTTGATTATGCGAAAATGTTTGTGCTTAATCTTTTATAAATTTTACTTAAGTTTTTTTTACAAATAATATAATAATAAGAATATAATGATTATTATTATTATTATTATTGTACAATGATAACAAAAAGTGTACAACAACAATAATAATAATAATAATTTATTTGTATTATTATTAGTAGTAGTATTATTATAAACTATTTATAATTATGTGCAATATTTTCCACATTTAAAACTTAAAAATCTTTTGATTATGCATCCATGTTTATGCTTAAACTGTGCCTACATAAGATTAAAATTAATATTATTATTAATAATAATTGCTATTAATTATATTTTTAGGTAAATGATGTGCATGAATGAATAAGCGTCTGTGTGTTTATGAGAGCAAGTGTGATAAAGTGCACTAACCGAGTCGACTCCTACGGATCATATCAGGTGAGACGGGCCTGAGCTTTCTCTCCGACCGGATCCCTTCCAGGATACGTTCATGAAGACTGGGAGGTCTTGTTGGATGAGGCTTTAGCTTACGAGCAGAAACCTTAAAGCACATTCAAACATACACATGCACAATGATTAACAGGTTTGTGTTAATAGGTGACATTTGTATTAATTGATCTGCATCAGTTTAAAGATACTCCAGCTCACATATGACCAAAGGTAAGCGTGTTTGTGTATGCTCTCATGCTCACAGGATTCAGTGGAGGTCTGGAGCGAATGAACTCCAATATGATCTCGTGAGCACTCTTCTTTAACCGCGGAGGAATGTTACCATTGACCTACAGCAGAAAGAAGGCACAGCAGGGGTCAAATCTTAGATATGTTGCCTGTGAACTAAAACTTAAAGTCTGTGTCATTTGAAAGAATGCAAAGGACGCATTTCAAATGTGTGTCCTGTCTAAAGAATGCATCAAAATAATATCAATGACAGCTATTGTCTATGCATTAATAACTGGAGGCAAAGGTGTGGTAGGTGAACAAAAACTGACCTATTACCTCACTCAATTCAAAATGGCCTATCATGTAAGGTGTTGACTCTGACGTGGCATCTCTCTGAAAGTTTTGCAACCTTATATGTCTATTTCTAAACCGTAACCTCAAGCCATCTTGATTTACTGATTTCAATGTCATTCACTTGATCCAGTTCAATCCTATAAAACCTTTTTCTACCCTGCAGCTTCAGAAATAAGCTTGCTTGATTTCTGATAAGCAAAGTAAACACTGTTGTGGTTTATGATCTCTGCAACAAACAGCAATAAAGGTGAATTGCAATGTGCGACTGCACTGTTGGTACAAAGGGAAAAATGACTCATGCTTGTGTGTTCATGGAGAAATTCAAAAACTGATTTTGATCATAGATGCTGACATGACCCAGGATTCATTTATACTTGTGCACGCTCACCATGACTTTGCGAAGTTTGTAGCGTTTGGAGCGGATGTCATCCATGAGCATCTCATAAGGCGTGAGCTGGAACTCGATGGGTAGAAGGTTATACTGACGCTCCTGGACCTTCTTCAGCTTCACACCGTGTCTCAGGTCCCTCATCACCTGCACCCAAAACCGTGCCTGTGGAAAATATACACAACACACAGTTAGCCATGGCTTATGACTGTCCTGAACCAATAGCACACAGTCTGAATGCATTCAGCACCGTTATGCTCAGGGGAACTGCTCTCACCCAGTCAGCATTCTGCAGCTCATTCAGGTCTCTGACAGGCTCCTCTGTTTCTCCTTCCATCTTCCGCAAATTCTGAAAAAGAAAATATAGAAAAAGATTAGTATTAAGTCTTGGACCAGAGGCCATTTAGATCCTGCATGCATCCATCCATCCATCAATCTATTTATAAAGATGGCATTTCTTTGGTGTTGGATATGTAAAATAACAGATTGTCCTCAGTCTGGGGTCAAATAAGAAAAAGTCAATGTCGCTTTATCCATCGTGGGTCTGGCTTGTGTGTAAACCGATTCACTCTCATTAAGGCTTGATCAATACGCAGCTAGTCTGCACTACAGCCACACCCACTGATCCACTAGCAAAAGGTCATTTCCACACAGGGTTGAAGTTGGGACAACTGCATATATGATAGACACAATGGTTGTTTCACCTGCACTGGTTAATTGACAAATTACAAAACGTGTTCAGTAAACGTCAGCCGAGAATATATTCTCATCTTGTTTGTTTTGAGTGGTTTGACATTCATGGCAAAATAAATGAGATTTACCATCACAGGACAAATGAAATTGTGTATGATTAAATTTTAGGATTTTTATGGTCAGAACAATAAATCATTCTTTTGCTGCCGCCTGGATTGCTTATTAAATCTCTTAGTGAGCTTGCAGTCTCCCTCAGAAGAACTCAAAATGAAGCAGAGACGTGTGTCCCCTCTAGGGTTTACCCTGCCCTGATGCAGATTTAGCATGAATGAACAGAAACACACACACAGAGCTAATAATATCTGAGCAGAAAGAGTCTGATCTCTTAAAGAAAACACAACTGTGCTGCATCACACAACACAAGCCAAAAAGGAACATTTTATTCATGCATGAGAAAGAAATAAGAAACACAGACACGGGGGGGGGACTGTAGACTCTCTGAATCATCGGAGCGAGACTATTCTGTCAATCTGGCGAAGATCAAAAGAACTGCACAACTGATTTTTCCTGCCCCTTTTCACTCGCTCTCTGCACTCCTTTCCTCTAAAGCAGGGGTGATTACTTAATCCACATTCTGGAAGAGTGCTATGCTGCAGTGTTTAGTTCCAACCTTGACCTAACAAACCTGTCAGTAATATTCAACTGAGCAGTTGATCTAGGCTGCATGCTAATTCTCATACTTCTATTACTCGCAAGTAATATGTACTTCGATAATGTTATTATTAAGATGTGAAAATTAGTATTTATTTAGAATGTGCAGGTGTAACAGGACTAAATTCTGGTTCAGGACTGAGCAGACCTGTTCCAAGACCCATGACAGCTGCTCCTGTTTCACCCACCGACATGTGACCTCCACCCAGTGCCACTTGGTGCTGCTGGATTAGGTCTCCTTTTTGAAAGGAGGAGGAGCTACACTATAGAAAGCAGGTTAATGCAAACTAATGCCTCTGAGAGAAAGGACACATTCAATGGGATAAGGCTCATATTACATGATGTTCACATGCCACTTGATTACATGTTACAGTTTAAACAGCTCACCCTGTACTAAAGAGGGCTAAACACTGTCTGACTAGGCGATCACAGAGCAATCCCCTTAAAAACAGCTTCTTACGAAACTTGTCAAGTTTAGTGTTACACAACTCAAGCAAATAAGAGCATTCACAAATTTTTGTTGAATTCTGAACAGGGACAGTGTTTTTTCAAAGCAGTAATAAAACAACACTGTAATATCTCTATATAATACATAATATATTATTCATTTCAAATGCACAATGTAATTACAGGTGTTTTGGACTTATGTTGCTTTGAATAAAAAATAAATATTTAATTTAAAAAAATGTCTATGCACACTAAGCAGTTGATGCGGTTTAATAATGAAATGTCTTCAAGTATTGGCAGGTAAAGCTGTTCATAATTGACAACTGCAATGTCAGAACGAATCTCTTTAAAAAAAAAGTTTCTGCATGACTTGATGGGAACATTCAGTCTCTGTGTGGTGTCCAAGACATGCATTCAATGGAAGGTATGAGGGCTATGTTATATGCAAATATTGTTTTTAAGAGTTAAAGAGTGATAGCATCTCAATTCTGCAGATGGTGCACATATTACTATGTCATAAGAAGCAATAACACTTCATAATAATGTTTGTTTATAAATCGCTGAAACACTTTTTGACAGTCATCTCAACAATACAGTAAGTGGCTCAAATTACCAAGCTTAAGCTATAAGAGCCTGGCACATTCAAGTCTTTATTTATTTTTACAAATGTCTCAATAAGTTGTTACTTCAGACATTTAATGAGACAAGTGGAAATAATATAGAGAAACTTAAAGAAAATAGACTCTCAGAAAAAAAAAAGGTACAAAAGCTGTCAGTGGGGCGGTACCTTTTTAAAAAGTACACATTTGCACCTTGTTTACACCTAAAGGGTGCATATTAATATCTTAAAGATAAATATATTTTTTAAAAAATTGGTAAAGACACTACTGACACAGCTTTTGTACCTTTTTTCTCAGTGTACAAAAACATTATTATATACCCATTCCTCATAAAATATATATCGCTTAATGGTGTCCTTGTTATGAATGCAAAATGTAGATGTGAATATCTAAGAATACTTCAAAAGTCCTATAGCAAAAAAAACATATTAGCACAAGATTTACATTCTTAAAACCTGATGAAACAAACATATGACAATGTGTTGGGTAATAAAGCACTGGTTTCGATCCACCTCCACAGTCCACAGCCTATTTATGAGTCACTTGTGCTGTCAGCCCACTAACTCTATTCAAGCTGATACAACAGCATCATGCTTTCAGTACTGTACATGTATACAGCTGTTTTGATTTTCACCCTGTCAATATCTTTGTAAGATGCTTACTATAAATTTTTGTTGTTGGTGTTGTTATTTCACTTGCTTTTTTGGCATAAATGACACAGAACTGAAAATACAACTCTTCAGCAAATTAAACTAAATGGAACAAAGAATTGAAAAAAGCAGTTTGTACATAATTTGGTAAGCTTATAATGCGTTCTGTGGTTTCAGTAAAGCTAAGAAATGAGAAAATTCTAATACATACATACATAAATATGATAAAGCGTGTGTTTTTTTTGTTTTTTTTTTAATGCAGTTTCATGATGGAACAAAAACTAAAACTCAGTAATGGTACTTGTAAGATCATTTTAAATCCACACGTGAATAGACAAGAGTGTCATATGAGGGTCATTACCTCTTTGGCACTCTTGATCTTCTCTAGGAAGGTGCGTAGCTCCTTGGTCTCTGCATACAGGGCTCGACATACGGCCTGGTAGTGGTTGGGAGCATCTGATGGGCTGGGAAGGTGAGACGTGCACAGCTGCAGAGGAGAAAACGGTGAGACGTACATCACAGCATTAAAGCCTACATTTTTGTCAGCACAACCTTTCTGTCCTAAAATAGTTGACTGTGTTTCAGAGGACAGAAGTGCATTTAAGGTCTCGTCCAACTCTGTCTGACAAGTTAATCCTCGCATCTTTTCCACAGACTTTAAGAAAATCATCTTCTGAATCTGTCTAACAAGTTAACCCTGGCGTTACACATTATGTTTTGGCACATAGCTGAGAGCCAAACCTAAAGCTAGCATGACTCTGATTAAATTCAGAGTCTCAGGTATAATAGTTTGAGCATAACACGTATTTTAAAATGCACAATTACGCTGACCAAATACACCTCCAACCGGCTTAATTACATTTTTCCCCACACCTTCCCTTGAGCTCTGCCCTCTTCAGGAATGTCTTGCGCAGCGTAGATTCACCGTCCCCGTGACGCGTTTTGCTGAGGAATCACGCTTAACAAGAGTATTGTCTACGACAAGGGAAAGTGAATACAACTTGGAAAAAAGCCTGCTAGACCTGACAGGAGAGAGATAAGAAGCAAAAGTAGGCAAAAATGAAAAACCATTTAAGGAGGATGCGCTAAAGGAAGTTAAAGAAACACTCCAGTAAGTCCTTTTATTTTCCCATTCCAAACGAATGGGCTGAGATAATGAAAGAGGCATATGCCTCAAAGGTAGTCCACTATCTTCTGTTCTCGTTCCTCTTTATTTTTGTCAATCTTTCTCTGTCTAAATAGAGAATTTAAAAGGTTTCACCAGGTTCAGCTTGGAGAAATCTAATGTCACGGTTCATTTCTGCGCTCAACCTCGTCACTAAATTTGGAGACTGAAAGGAAGGCATGAAAGGACAGACATTATCTAACAAGTCCTGAAATGGCCCTGCAGAATAGTGCAGAACATACTGTGAACCAAACTGACCATATGTTGCTCGTTTGTTTGTCATTTAACAGCTTCCATGGGTGTTTTCATGGTATTCCTTGTTAAGATTTAAATTCATGCTAATGTTAGTATCTGTGTGGTCTCAGTCTGGTCATATTCTTTCTTTCCACAGTTTGTAAAGAGCTTCTCCATTAGTTTATTGATAAATATGACTGTAATTTAAAATAACCGCTGCTGCTAAGTGTCTGAAGGCCTTTATGGAGTCTCAGGGTAATGCGTTACTGGAGTGGGCCTAAGGGAGCACTGAGCAGCATAATGAATACCAGCTGAGAGAGTAACTCTCAGTAAATAACACTCACACCGATCTTTACAGAGAGCAGATAAACCCAACTCAGGAACTGTGAGGAAGATCTTGCTTCCTACGATCCACACCTGTTCAATATTCAAATTAAAATATATTCATATATTAAAATTCAAAATGAATTCATTAATATTTTACTTAATGTGTGAACGAATAATTATTAACAAACTAATTCAATTCAATTTGAATTAAAATTATATTTTAACATTTAATAAGTGTTTCAATTACTGGTAACATTTTGATAAATAAAAATAGAAATTGTGCATTGTATCCCATAGATTGTATTATGCATTTAATAAACAAATAAATAAATAATTGAATAAATATATCATTTTGATACAAAAAAAATCAAAATTCATTTATATAAAAATTTGTAAATTCATTAATAAAGTAATATTAATTAATTAAAATGAATCAATAAAATAATAAAAACATAATTAATAAAAATGAATTTTATTCAATTAAAAATATATATTTAAATTTGGACAGTTTACATAAAATATTCATAAAAATAGTATTTGTAAATTGTATCCTATACATTTTCGATTTTATATAAATAAATATATAATTTTGATTTAATTTGATAAGTTCATTAATGCATAAATATATATTGATAAAAATTCAGTATTAAATTAAATTAAATTAAATTTTACGCTTTATATAGTTAACAGCATTCGTAAACTAAATCCAATACATTTTATTATTCAACAAATTAATAAATACATTTATGGAATATAACATGAGGATGGTAAAAAGGATAAATTAAATAAAAACTGAATTTACTAAATATTCACTCAAAAATCACAACTGACAGGGCTATTGGTAGATTTGGTAACTGGCCAAATTGGCAAACACTACTTCTGTTGATCGGACAGGCGATCATAGTTGTCGGCCAATGCCAATAATGACAAAATAGCCAATAATTGGCCTAGCCGATGTATAATGCTCTATCAATACTTACGGAAATGATGTCACGGTAGCCACGGATGTTGGAGACTTCTGTGAGTTCTTCATCTCCCTCATCCTCTTCCTCTGTTGCCTCATATCCCTCATCAGGACAGTCTGTTTCTGTGTCTGCCATGTTGGTCATGAGGTCGATGAGCTGCTCTAGAGGAGGGCTGAGCTCTCTCTCCTCATGCTCCTTCAGGCCGTAATCCAAAGCCTTGTAGATCATTATACCCAGAGACTCTATGATCTGTAACACACACACACACACAATCACATTCATTATTAAGCAAGAATAAATAACCGTAAAGTCATGACATCAGAAGCAACACATGCTATGACATAAACCTCTATTTTACAACCCATATCATGAGCACTGATAAAAGGCATCAGAGATTAGCTCAAAAGAAAAAAAGTGTCAGCAACCTCTTGGATAAGCCTCATTACAGTCTTGTGACTCTCAGAGGCCTGCATGCTTTAATGGAGGGGGAATTCAGATACAGCTCAAACAGGGCTTGACAATAATGCTCAGTCGGACCGGTTTTGCATTTATGCCATTTGTTGTAAATGTTTTGTAAAAAGTATAAGAATTAAATATTAATTGATTAATGTATTATTTATGCTAATGAAAATCGATAGATGAATTATTACTAATAAATTGTTTTATTATAATAATCTTAATAATTTTGACACTTTATATAAAAATGTTGATAAAAATGTCGGCAGCGTGCAGACATATAGCGCTGTTGCACTACGGGCGTCCCGAGTTCGAATCCCGGTTTAAGGACCTTTTCCGATCCCGTCCCCCCTCTCTCTCCCACTTCACTTTCTGTCATCTCTATACTGTCCTTAGGGCTGGGTGATTTTTCCGGTTTTATCTATTAATTAGAATTTAATGTTTTGCCACAATTTTATTTTTTAGAAATCGAGGAATCGCGATTTTGAATAGAAATATTGCCAAACGTTAGAATTAAACTTTGACAATATGTCAGTGATAACAGTAAAGAGAAAAGGACGATCCAACCACATGTCGGCGCACGTGATTAACCGCTAACATGTGACATGCTCATATCGCTAGGTGCCATTCACACAGAATGCGCTTTTGTGTTGACAAAGATGCGACACGGGCAGTGGAATAGGAAAAACATGCAAGAAGATGGGAGGGAACTTCTTTTAACTTGTTTGGCGTTGCATTTTTAGAATGCCGTTTCATGCATGAGACGCTGCAAGAGATGCGAGCGCAACAGTCAAACACGTCTATGTTTACATAGAAAAAACAATGGAAAAGCAGCGCAGGCGAATAAAAAACCTGTAACTACTACTCTATGTCTGATATTTCATGTTTGCATCATGGTGACAGGCTGAAAGCTGCTGTTGTTTTTACAGACCATTTATAGTTAATAATACTGGTGCTACACCTTCAGTCATTTTGAATTTGAATTACCTTGACTTTTGAGATTTTTTAAAGCATTTTCCTCGTATTATTTCTGAACACATAATATGTATAAGACAAGTTTGTACAAGATGTAGTTGTAGTTCATGCATCTTTTCTGCAAAGATATTTAACGTGATTTGTTTAACATTTTTCATCATGTTGACAATTTCATGTGTGATGCACTTGGAATAGAATGTTCTTTAACTAGAGGGTTAATGACAAAAAAGTAAAAAAAAATAGTTTTCAGTTTAGAAAAATAGTTTTCAAGTTGGCTAGTTAAAAATCGTAAAAAAAAAAAAATCGAGAATCGGTCAAACATTCTAAAAAAAAATCAAGATTACAATTTTTGGCCAAATTGCCCAGCCCTAATCTTTAAAAAAAAAGTGTTAATAAAAACAGCAACAATTTTATTATCCCCTATTAATACCCCTTTTAATTTTTTTTTTTTTTTGTAAATTTGTCTTAAAATTGTTAACATACTATAAATAATAATAATAAATCTTATTTATAATGCACTTTATATTCACACAGAATCCTGAAGTGATACAGATTAAAAAAAAAAAATAAGAATCATTCAAAGGCTTTGCTAAAAAGGTAGGTTTTGAGGCCACGTTTAAAAGCATCGACAGTCTGTGGAGTCCGTAGATGGTCAGGGAGAGCATTCCACAAACTCGGAGCAGCTGAACAGAAAGCCCGATCTCCCATAGTGCAAAGCTTTGTAGCGTCTGGACCAATCAGACACACCATTTTTTTTTTTGATTTAACAAATCAATTATTCATTAGGTTAACAAATAATCACAGACCCCTCACCCAATAAACATGCTGGGTGCCAGGATGTCTGCGAA